TAACTTCTGTATAAAATACTGTACTGGCAGATCCAGTGTGTATTACAAATAGATTCTCTAAATATCTTTAAAGAGTCACTGATTAAACCTGAAGTGATTTTTGTTACACATTGTAATTTATCTGTACCCCAAAGAAAGCAAGATTAACAGTGAAGAGGGTAAAACAGAAGTGAATATTTCTAAAAGGTACATCATAAGCAGGTGCAGGGACCAGGGGCTTGATTGCTGGGCTTGCCATGTGGGTCCTGCCCCTGGGATGGCAATTGAGACTGGGCGTGTTGCCACATGCCTGTAATCCCAGCTCTTGAGAGGCTGCAAACTGGTGGATCAATATGAGTCCGATTTAGTAGTGAAACCCTTGAACACCCTTTAGACCTTCCCTCAATACAAAAATAAATAAATAAATAAATAAAGGTATATCATATATATCCAAGGATTTATGAAATTAAAATCTTTATCATATACCACTTTAGGTTTATTTATTAATTTTATACTTTGTCATTAGGCATATATATTTGTGCCTTATTCAAGGAGATGCATGCCTTCATTTAAACTAATTTTTAGTTGCTTTCCATTTGGCAACTCATGATTAACCACACCAATGAAGAGAAATAACAACAGAGAAAATTTAGTGTTCACAAATTCAAAGCAATTTATTTTTGGCATCAGTGTATCTTCTTCGATTTTGCAGTGGAATTGTTAAAGACAAAACAGTTTTACTTAAATGCTGGAGACCATTGTAGTTTTATGATACTTATTATTTTAGTTGAAACCTGAAATATTAAAACTGGACATGTTATGACTGGTGCAGAAAACTTAAAAGTACATTTTAAATTGTTATGGTTTAAATGAGGCACAAAGGAACAATTAATTGATAGCTTGGGGATTCTTGAAGGAAGATTCTATCATGCAAAAGCACAAGAACTATGTTGGGCCAAACAGATGACTCAGCGGTTTAAAGTGCTTGCTTAGGCAAGCTCAGGCAGGTGCAGGGGACGGCATTTCCATCCCAGCATCACATGCTGCGCCAGCCCCGCCCTTGGGCATGCTGAGTGGGCCAAAAA